ATTATTTGTCTGTTACAATATCAACATAACATTGTCAGTACCAAAAAGGAATCGGTATAGGCACACTTAGCTTCCAGCTTTAGCATTTCCTCTCAAATTACATAGTCCCAAATCACTGTCCCAAATCTGTTTTCCAATTTGTTTTGCAATAAGAGGGTAAAAACAAAGCAAATAAATAATTCAGATTTTTGGAAACTGACTGAACTCCATTAGTGCTTTCTGACTGCGTCCTCTAAAACTCAATAACCTTTCTCCAGAGCTTTCTGACCGCTCTCACTGACTAAACAGTATATAGAATCCAATGTACTGTTCATAGTTGTGCTAGCAACTGTGATCAAGTACAGATCTCTAACCTTTGTGGCCCAGTTGCAGGCCATGAGGTCCAGTATGACCCGGAGCAACATGCCAGTCTGGTAAGACCAAAAGTTAGTTCCACTTTCCTGCACTCCTCTGTCAGGATGGAGGCACTTTGTCTGAGCAACTGCATAATGTGTTGAAAGTAGAAGCTGTTGTTCACAATCACAGCCACAAAGCCGCAGAGACCACCATCTATGAGCCTCTGCGGGGCCACTTCAATCCACACAGGCAGAGAGAGGTAGTGTGGAGCAGGTCAGATACAAACAGGTTGATATGGCAGACTGCCATGTTTTTTGCTTCTTCACCAGCATCCAGCCTACATACAGAGACAGGCAGTTAGCCAGAGAGCCAACAATGAAGAAAAGACAATAAACTGCTGGATACATGTGTTGATCAACTAAAGGACTCAATGATGTAGGACGTATTTAGATGTACTTGAGTTTGTTTGGTCGAGGAGTGCTGAGCCTTCTTAATGTGATGTGAATAGAATTGGGTATACCTTTTCTTGTGTGGACTTTAAGCTTTGGACAGTTTTGGACAGATACTGTACTTGTATATCCGGGGTTAGGGCTAGCGTTAAAGGATCTCAGTAGAGGGGAGCTTTCCAGCAGCATCAAGTATTTCAATATCTCACCACTCCCTGCTATCAGGACTAATATGGTGGGAGGATTCTGCTGGCAAACTATGGGCCTCATTCACCAGTTGTTCTTAAAAATTTCTTAGTAAAACCCATTTAAAGTTTTCACAAAGATTCTTGCATTCACCAATGTTTTCTTAACTGGGATTTGTTCTTAGATAAGAACGGAATCACACTTGGGGGCAACGTATGCACATTTGAGTGCTGACATGTTTGTGTGAAATAACTGGTTAGTTAGTTTTCTTCAGGTATACAGCTACACAATACTATAAGATTTAAATTACAAGTTTTGTCATAAGATTTAAATTACAAGTTTTGTCATTATTAATGTTTCTTTAATGTTTTCCCACTATTTTACTAAGCATTATGGTCTTTTAAAACAAATAAACACTACACTAAAAACTACAGAAAGCAATTAGGCCTAATTGCTTGTTTATAAGTCAAGGTTTTAAAATTAAACTTTTACAGTGTAATTATTTGTAGCTTAGAATTAGGAAACGTATTAATTAAAACCAAACACGTTTAAGTGCATATCTATATCTCTGATTTCTGTTCATTTTGGCCAGTGTTGAGGCTGACTATGATGGCGTTTGGTTGTCCAGCACCGCATGTGAGATCAGACCCAGGGCAGTTAAAGGGACCTGGATGACGCATGGAGCTGCGTGCAACTGATGGCACACCTGAGAGAGCCATGATGGCCCCAATGCGCTGGTCTAGTTCAGATAGCTCTGGGCCATCCTGTCCTCCTCCACTGGTCTTTCTTCTGTGTTTGTTCGCAGATCAAACCATCTTTTCACTTCATTAGTTGTGAGCCCTTCTCCTTATACAGCGTTCGAGTAACAGCATTCCATGTGTGTTTGTTTTAATTTATAAACACTACTGACACTACTGAATGTGACAACTCATTTGTTGTTTTCCACTTCATATCTACTCAGTCTTTTTGGTTTGGAGTTTGTTGCTCAACCGTATTTCCATTTTTGTTTTAGCATTTCTAGCTTTATCAGCTCCTATCTTCTGTTTCTGTGGTGGTTCTGCATGGGACTCCTGTGTGCACAAGGACCTGCAGACTCATGCCCTTTTATGGGCACGAGCCCGGCGTTACCCTATGCAAATTAGGAATGACTGGCATGCACTTCATCAATATAATAAAAAGGGGAACAAACAGCTAAAGAACACATTCATAAATCAGAGGCAGACTTTTCTCAGGACCTTTCTTAAGAACAACGTACAAACAAACTTAAGAAAACAAGTATGCTGATGAATGAGGCCCTTTGTTACCAGTGTCTTTTCCAGGAAATGAGAGCTCTGCAATATCTGTGAAAATCTGTGTGGGGACTGGATCAGACCTAAAGAAAATAGGACACTCACTACTCTTGTTTCTTTAGCGGTGAACTCATTCCCAAATTCTTTGCTGGAACCAGTGAGCACTGTACTGTTCACAGATCAACAGTCTGGTTTAAGTGACCAATATTTTAAGGATTATTGCTAACATTTTGAGTAAAAACATTTTGGTTTACCTTATAATAAATACAGTAGTTGGCTTGTTTCTGACTTGCGTCCTGAATTAGAGAGGACCTTTATTTATTGTAGAAAACCTCTTCAGAACTTTTCAATGTAAACAAAAGATGCTCATTTTAAGAGCTTGTCTTTATAAAGCATGGATGGAAGTTTATTTATATATCAAATGATCAAACAGTTGCATTTATTCCACTCCAAGTTGTTATATTAAGTTGATTATGCAAGCATACAAATGACACACATGGCCAGTTATTTCAGCAGCAGTAAAGTATGTTCACACTGTAAAGTCATGAGACACTGGTACATAATAGTACATAAACTGTACAATTACATAGATAGAATACAACAGCATCTAAAAGTGTGCTCTTTGCAAACTAAGCTGACATGATAAAGTTACTTTATTCTTCACACAATTTATTTCCCCTTGATCACCATGGCCCATGCCTATAAATCATAACCACAAGTATATGAGTAGAATCCTGAATATCAAAGATAATAACAACCAACAGAATATGTCTTCACACCAGTATAATCTGTGCATCCACCACGTGAACTATTTACAGTCCTCTTTTTAAATGTGTGTTTACAGCACAAAATACACACAATATCATTAAGTTAATATTCATTCGTCGACTACATGATGAAATAAATTCTCATAAAAACACAAACTCAGGAAAGAAAAGTCAAACTTAAACCAGAATCAGTGTATGTGTTCTTATTGAGGAGTGTGAGAACCATTTTAACCACTGGGTAGCACTGCGACTCAACGGTGCATTTCACTGACATCTCTAGCTTATCTTAGCATTTCGTTGTCCCGTGGTCATACATCACAGAATGATCAGACTTGGATTAAACATTATGAAACAAGTGACTGGGCATTGTTACAATGGCGATGCGCCTTTTTGGTTTTCAGTTTGCCTAGATATTGGAATACATGTTCAAACAAATCATAGGTATTCTCAAGGGACGTTTACTGCATTTCTGCAAAATGTCTCCCAGCAGGGTGGCCTCTGTCTGCCTCAGAGCAAACGCCAACATGTCCAAAAAATTACTGTAGAAAGATACATTATCAGATAAGGGTGTCAGCAGAATTTCTTTATACAGGCTTTCCTGTCTCCAACCTGTGATTCGCTGTATTGGGTTTAAAGTGAGTTCAGAATATGGATGTGATGCTTATTCAGTTCAGTAAAAAAAAAAAAAAAAAAACAGTCTTGTGTTCCAGAGATGCATAGCCCGAAGAAGTCTTTTCCTGAGAGGGGCAAAGCCCTCCAAACCTCTGAGACAAACCAGTGACAAACAAATCTTCAAATTCCAAATCCTACATCTAATATTAAAAATATTACTTACGCGATTAATTGCTTATCTTACAAAGTTGCAGCAGAATTTCATTTAAAAAAGCCACATCTCTCTAGTCCTCCACTGTTTTTTAAATTCTAACTTCTAAAATATTAAAAAACATAACCTAACTTCTCAAAACAAAAGAAAAAATAAACCTTCTGGCCTGCAACTTAAGGTCAACTTAGGAAATCTAAGTTTCAACCCTGTGAGTATACAGAATTGACATTTGAGGATATTGTTCTCTTTAAGGACTTATTGGTTGACTTCTTAAAGAGTTTCTTAACTTTTTCCTGGAATTGTTTTCCTACAATGACATAGAGGATGGGGTTAAGAACACTGTTGAAGAAGGCAACATACATAAAAATCTGCTGGCAATATTGTAGGGCAGTTTTAAGGCTGCACCCTTCCAAGACTTTAAGCCTTACAAGCAGTTCTATTATCTTCAAAATGTGGAATGGTATCCAGCAGATCAGGAATGCAAAGAGGACCGCCAGGACCAGAGTGGTGGCCTTCTGCTCTGTATTCTCAGTGTTTATCACTTGCTTTACCCGGTTATTCAGAGCTTGAATAATCTTCAAAGTGCAGTATGAAATAATGGAAATAGGGATGATGAAGCTGAATATGATCATCATCGTGTCAAACAGCAGTACATGGGTCACAGAATACTTAAGATAGCACAATGTGGTACTTGTTTCAGAGGAATATTTTATCTCCCTGAAGATGAACAGGGGGACATTGAGGAGTAGGCCCACAGCCCACACCACCACACAACTCAGTTTGGCATACTTTGGCCTACGCAGTCTTTCAAGAGTCAGTGGGTGCACCAGTGCCATGTAACGATCTAAACTGACCAGAACGAGGAAGTAGATGCTGCAGTATGCATTCATGGTGATGGAAAGGGGGACCAATTTGCACAAGAAACTACCAAAGGGCCAGTCGAATTTGTTGCCTACATACACAGCCCAGAAAGGCAAACAGGACACCAGGAGAAGGTCGGCAGCGGCCAGGTTGCTCAAGTAGATCTCAGGCACAGTGCAAGCCCTCTTGTGGAGACAGAAAACCATCAGGACAAACACATTAAACACGATTCCTAGCACGGCGATGAGCAGGATATAAACCTGCATCACAGGGTAGACCCAGTCCTCGGTTTTACCAGAACACGAGGTGCCATTTGTGTTGTTTTGGTCTGCATGTATAGGGCTGAAGTTAGCAGGAACGCTGTGGAGAGATAGCAGAAGGCAAACAAGACAAACATTAACTAAATTTGAATTTTCTCTAACATTTCTTTAAAATCAAAAAATGGAATACTGTGAAACACTACATTCTGAGTAACAGCAAATAATGTGAAATACTGAGTACATGGAACACTAGGAAAATGTTTTTCCATTTTAATGCAGCCATGACCCAAAATATTGGCACTCCTGCATTTCTGTCAGATAATGCACCACTTTTCCCAGAAAATTGTTGCAGTCACAAATTCTTTGGCATTCTCATGATTATTTCTTTTGTTTGCATTGGAACAACATAAAAAAAAAGCAGAGAAAAAAAGCCAAATCTGATACATTCCACACAAAACTCCAACAATGGGCTGGATAGAATTACTGACACCCTCAACTTAATATTTTTGCTCTTTGGCAACAGTTTAATAAGAGAATGATATTCATGAATGACTTATCTAAGATTGTCACCTACTGTATATGATATATAAAATAACATGTTTAAATAACTAAATCATATTTGATATGAAATCCTCAGTTATAATTTGGAATCCAATGGCAGTTATTATTATTATTTTACAATTATACCACTATGAATTCATCAAAATACATGTGCACTGCTGTAACTAATAAGATGTTTAGCTCATCCCTATAACTGCAGACTTAACAATGAGCATCATCATTAACTCAGAGCTTATGATAATTTAAATGCCTTAGTCGTTGCACTAATTAATGTATCATTCTTGCATTAAAGCATGCACGGGACACTGCTGGTTTTTGTATAATCCTGAAAATTCATGAAGTTGTGATCATTCATGTACCTTTGCTATAAAGTTACCTGGTGGCAAAGCTGCAGTCTAGATGTTAACATGATGAAACAAAAATACTGTTTTTAATACCAGCTCAACATTATGAATTAAAAAGAAAAGGTTTTAAAAAAACATGGTATTAAAAATGTTAGAACTATTCTAACTACTGAGAAAAGTATAAAGCTTATGCATACCTTGTAGTCAGAAGAGTCATTATTTCCAGAGATGTTTAGATGTTAAATATCCAGATACAGGCTTCACTCTTCACTCCAGTGCTTTCTGCTACTGTTTTCTCGATCTTTTCAAGGCTAAAGTGATGTCATGCAAATTCTTTGGAAATAGGAGGGTGTGTGTTCTATTTCCCCTCCTTCCCTCTTTACTCTCTGCCACTTCAGTGTTTCCCCCTTCTGGTTGTTGACACAGAATGTCTTCTCTATCCAGCTGTTGATATTGTTTTTATAATAAACTGGACATTTATCTGCCATTTGTTTTAATCCTTATCCTACCCAGGAAATATCTGCAGGGATTCATGGGAATAGGGTTAGTAAATGTAAATTAGCTGTTCGTATGAACTGGGCCTGGGGATTAAAACCCTTCTTTCTAGGGTAAGATCAACATCCCTCACTTGCTGTGACATGTTGTAGAGTTCTTAGTAATTTACAACATGAGAATTTTGTGTTGTTATGTTTCATTTTTATTATCTTTTATTATCAAGGTCACTTGACTAAAGTTATTTTAAAATAAACAAAACAAAATTTTAGGTTTTTCATGACACTAATTGCTAGACAACAATGCTCAAGTCTTTGTACTATATGTAGTATCTCTCTCTCCTCTCTCTCTCTCTCTCTCTCTCTCTCTCTCTCTCTCTCTCTCTCTCTCTCTCTCTCTCTCTCCACAGTCACCAGAAAAAGTAATAGCACTGTTTGTAATAATAGAATCAGAATCAGCTTTATTGGCCAGGTGTGATGGACACACGTGGAATTTGACTCTGGTACATCGGCTCTCAATGTGCAAACAGTGAACCAGCATAAGGCTGTGTAATATAACACAATAGCAGTATTAACATCAACAAACAGTGCAAACAATGCAGAAAAAGCAGTATAAATAAACAGTAAACAATGCAGACAAGACAATTTCCTGGTTTTCTGCATAATTTGGTCATGAAATGTGATTTAATCTTCACCCAATTCACAAATATCAACAAACACAATATTTCTAAGCTGATATAACACAAATGGTCATGATCTCTCATGTCTTTATTGAACACACACATTAAACACACAATGTGATGGTGGGAAAAGTAATTTAATAACTGGTTGAATAACCTCAAGCAAGCACTTTCTGCACAATGTTCAGGAGGAATTTTAGACCATTTTTTCTCACAGAACTGCTTCAGCTCAGCTATATTCTTAGGAAGTCTGGTGTGAACGGCTCTCTTGAGGTCATAGTTTACAAATATTGTGTTTGTTGACATTTGTCACTTTGGAGAAGATCAGATCACATTTCATTACCAATTTATGTAGAAAACCATATCTCTCTCTCTCTTTATATATATATAGTTACAGTGTATATACACACACACACACACACATATATATATATATATATAT